CTTTTCATACAAAGTTGTCTATAGATAGTTAACAAATTTTTACCAAGTTTGTTATAAATATTAGTAAGTTAAATAAATTTATATTAAGTTATTTGGGGGTCCCAAATAACTTAATATTATACATTTGGGGGCCCAAAAATTTAATAAACATAAAAAGTTGAAAACTAAAAATAATGCGTAGAAAAATCAAAATTTTTTTTTTGCAAAATTAAATTATTTTAGGGGCCTCAAAAATGTTTTGGCCTATGGCCCCCAAAAGGCTAAATCCGGCCCTGTATGTATATATATATATATATATATATATATATATATATATATATATATATATATATATATATATATATATATATATATATATATATATATGTATATATATATATATGTATATATATATATATATATATATATATATATATATATATATATATATATATATATATATATATATATATATATATATATATATATATATATATATATATTAGTTAAACAAATTTATAAGTTTAATAAAATTCAAATATAATAAAAGTATAATTTAAAAAAGTCTTAGCTACCTAACAGCTACTTTCATAGTCAGAAAAAAGTGTCTTAGCTACCTTTGGTTAAACAGCTACTTTCATAGACAGAGATCTTTGTAAAAATATTATTTAGCATGGTACAGTTAATACAAAAACTTTTTTTGTCTTTATATTAAAAAATTTACACAGCAAAATCTTGTAATTAAAAAATTATGACCTGTATATAGTATACATTATCAAATAAGTATTTTCAAAAAATAATTTTTTTAATTTGCAAAAATCACATGAAAAAGTGATGTCATAATTTATTTAAAGAATTATTAAAACATTTTTATAAAATACTCTCAATCTGGTCAAAACTAAAAAAATTGAGAGGAGCATAGTTTTTTTTTGACTTTCCCAAAACAATTTCCTGGAAATGTCCCTGGATACTGAGTGGAATTTCTAAAATCATCATACTGAGTAAAATTTAAAAAAATAAATCAGTCAATTGAATTTCAATAGTGTCATTATCTTTAAAAGATTTTTCAAGATTTTTGATGTTGTTACTATTTAATTTTTATCAATGGTATTGATGCCAAATATGCATTGTATTTTTACCAACAATCACATGTTTGATTTTAGACATTTTCTGATTTTGTTGATCCATGATTTGAAAATATAGAGAAATACGTAAACAGGCTTTAACTAAAAAGATGCAAATAAACAGAATTTCTTTTCTAGAATAAATTAATAATTTCAATAAATTCAAGTTAATATAGTTGCTTAAAACTAGAAGAAAAAATATTTCTTGAGACTTGTTTAAAGTGTTGTGTTGCGAGTCGCTCTACTAATTATTAAAGTGTTGTGTTGCGAGTCGCTCTACTAATTATTAAAGTGTTGTGTTGCGAGTCGCTCTACTAATTATTAAACAGATAAAAAAAATATGCTGTTTACAAATTACTAAAAGATCCAGATGAACATAGAAAGTGGCTATCAGCTATTCCAAGAAGCAACATTCCTGATAGCAAATACACTGTTGTATCTTCTCAACGATGCCCTATAAATTTTAAAAAAATGTTTATGGTAAGGAAAGATCCTCTTCTCTGCCTTCTATTTTTCATTGTGTTAAGTCCAGCTTTGTACCAACTGCACCTCCAAAATCAAGAGTTACAACTTCATCAAATCTTTGTACAAGAAATGTACAAGCTGATCATCTTAAGACTTTTAAAGCCAGGGGCTCTTTTGGAATTAGGATGATTTGATTATTCATTACCAAAAAAAAAAAAAAAAATACCAAAAGATTTGTAGGTAACTGTATAGTTACCTACAAATGCGATGAATAGATTTGTTTTCAATATACTGAATTTTACTGTGGTTTACCAAAGTGAGATCATGTAGCTATTTTAGACAAATGGTAGAATTTAGCTGAAGCTATAAAATATTTGACTAATATTGAGTTATTGATAAAATAACAAGTTATTATAGAAAGTTTATCTTCTATAAAAATTTTAAGTATTGGTGGTACACTTTATTCTTCAAACACTATTGTTCTAGCTTTTGAACATTTTTCTGTTTCAAGAGCACTTAATAAGCAAGTTCTACTCTGCCCAGTGTTTCTACAAAAATTGACATCATAAGCTTCAAAATTAAACAATGATAAATTTATTTTGCATGTTTTTTCCAAACATACTAACCGACAACAACAGTGCATTTTATTAATTGATGAAGTATATGTTAAAGATTCATTAACTTATCACAGTGGAGAACTTTTTGGGAAATCTGTTAATCAAACCAGACAAATTAGCAAAAACAATATTAGCTGTTATGATTAAAAGTCTTTTTGGTGGACCCACTTTGATAGTATGCATGATTCCATTATGTTGTCTTGATTCAGATTTTCAATATGAAGTATTTGATTCTATACTTGAATCAATTTCAAATGTAAATGGAAGCTGTGTTGCAGTTATATATGACAATAGTAAAGTCAATGTAAAGTTTCTTTCTCTGAAACTTTTGAAGAGAAACCATGGCTGACTAAAAATAATATTTGTTTACTTTACAATTATGTTCATATATGGAAAAACATAAGAAATAATTAGATTACTGAAAAAACTCAAGAAATTGAGTTTAAGAACAATGATGATAATTTAATTGCAAAGTGGGATGATTATTAGAACCTTGACAACTTAGAAAGTAAGACACTTGTGACTCTTTCACATTTAAATATAAAATTTCACATTTAAATATAAAATAAAAAACTGCTTCAATCTTTCCAAAACCTGTTAAGAGACAAAATGTTTCTTTGTGTTTGAGAGTTTTTTGTGATAAAACACTTTCTATTTTATCAACACATCCTAAATAGACCAAACCAATATTAAAGGAACTGTTGTATTTCTGAAAAAGTTTATAGATGCATGGAAAATTATTGATGTTTACAAACTGGGTTATGATAACCAATACGCTCTGTCATTGAATCACCAGGTGATCTGCAACAAATACTTTCATTATCACGAATCTGTGAAGATATGGATTGCCATAATGGAAAAAAAAAGAATTAAAACACTAACTGTTGAAACATCTAAAGCAATAGTCCATACCTTTAAAGGAATAGTTGAGTTAGCAAAATTTTTGTTAAGTACATCTCACGATTTTGTAAAACTTGATAAATAAACATCTGACCCTATTGAAAAAGTATTTAGTAAGTTGTGTCAAGGTGCTGGTGGTCCTTATTATATTTTGGTTTAACAAATTTTAGAAAAAAATAAAATTGAGCACTCAAAACTAATTTTACAATATGATTCAAACTTTTGTGAGCTTCATGTTGATCATATTTGCATGAACTGACAGAGACAACACAAAAGGAAAGTGAAATATTTTATTCTTTGAAAATATTAGAGTCTAGTTTAACTGATGCTGTTAAAATGGCTTTAGGGGCCATCCATAAATGACGTCACCATTTTTAAGCCAATTTTTGTCCCCCTCCCCCCCTTTGTCACCGGTTGTCCTTTTTTTCCTATACCCCCTTAAAAAGGATGTCATAAAATCCTGACCCCCCCCCCTGTTTTTAACCCCCAAAGAATTTATTTCATCTTGCAATGATGTTTAAATCTGCTGCTACACCTTTGAAAAATAAAATTAAAAGTATTCTCATATATTACCTTTCTTAAAAACACATGTTTACATAGTTTTCCATGTAAATTAAACTAAAAAAAAAATCTATAAAGTGACCTCCTTTTCTGACAACCTCTTCCCCTCCCCTTGTCCTTTTTTGTCCTTTTTAACTCGACCCCTTCCCCCCCTATTTGGATGACGTCCTTTATGGATGACCCTTTAGTATACATTGCTGGTTACCTTCAATTTAAGATTGGTTATGAAGATCCTGACCTTGATACATATTCATATTGTATTTAGTATGGTGCTTATCTCAAAGACTTAGAGGTGGTTTGACAAAGCCAACTGACATTTTAATTCAATTTATTTTCTTTAGTTATGTACTTTTTATCGCACAGAATCTGACTTTGCCAGTTTGTTTGCATTCCCTATTTTACTACATTGAATCAATCGACAATTTATATTTTTTGGGCTATTTTAAGAATAATATGCGTATGAAAAGTTTTAAAATTTCGTCAAATATTTTTTAAATAATTATTCAAAGCTAAACACTCCACGCTCTTACAAGGAGCTCAAAAAATTTTAAAACTAAATGACTAAATTAAAACTTTTGTTATTTTTGTTGTTTGGCATATGAAACTCTTTTCAATAAATTATGTTTCAGTGAAATGTTAAAAATATAACATGTAAACAAGTATAAACAATTGAGGTTCCATTAATATGTTCTATTAGTACACGGCTATCTAAAATAAAGGCCTATTAAACGAGCCGCAAAACTTGAAAACTGGAGACCGATTAGTAAAAATTTAATTTAGGCTTAATTTTGATTTATAAAAATATTTTAACAAATTACAATTGTTATCTAACTTGTAATATTTTCTCTTCAATAAATATAAAATAAGTATGCCTTTAGTTAGCAAGTTAGATAAAAATTGTAATTTGTTAAAATATTTTTATAAATCAAAATTAAGCCTAAATTAAATTTTTACTAATCGGTCTCCAGCTTTCAAGTTTTGCGGCTCGTTTAATAGGCCTTTATTTTAGATAGCCGTGTACTAATAGAACATATTAATGGAACCTCAATTGTTTATACTTGTTTACATGTTATATTTTTAACATTCATGTTAAAATTATGTATTAAGTATTAGCGCGGCAAAAATTCATTTGTGGACAAGCAAGCTGTTAGTGTTGATTTATATGTGAATTTAGCACACCGCGAATCATTTTAAGTTAGAGTTTGGCACATAGCTCACCAATCCTTTCCTAAACACTGTTAAGTAGATCACATGTTAGACATCAATATTTCACCTAGTGCTATGTATCATATTTTAACCAATCTGTTTTGTTTAAAGTTAAAAATGTTTAATTTTTTTTAAATTATTTTTTAAGCAACTTGCCCGAGAATGTTAGAGAAGTATATTTGGAAATGTTTGATGAGGTATTAATTATCATTTTATGTAAAAATGTTTGGTGAGGTATTTTATGTAAAAATGACATCATTTTAAGTGAGAATATTTTGATATTAGTTTAAACGAGAATGAATATTTTTTCTTTTTATAGTGTACATTTTCAGTCGATGAGCGAATAGCATGGTGCTTGATTAAGATTCCTGATAGTGTGATAATGGGAGAAGTTCTAAACGAATGGTTTTCTTTAAACGGAAAGCAAGGTGAAGAGAAAGAAGGAATGATCGAAATTGTTTTTCAGTATAAAGTTAGTTTAATTTTTGTCAATTTCTTATTCTTATTACTTTTTTCTTATTCTCAATTATTTTCATTTAAAATAAAAGATAATAAAGCATTTCCAATAAAAGATAATAAAGCATAATTTGTTTTTATTCAATGTTTAAAGAAGCTTCCTGCTGGACCTATGTTAGTTCCTTCGATGGTAGGTCCGATGGTTATTAATCCCATGGTTCAGCCCCTTATATATCCAAATGCATACGGTCCGCAAGTAATAATGCAACAGCCAATACAACCGGTTCAGCCTAATTTTCAACAAAGTTCTCCTGGTCCCCAACAGATTTTTGAAAGTAATCCTGCCGATTTAAGAACTTTAAAAGAAATGTGTCCTGATATGGACGTTGATATAATCAAAACAGTTTTACAGCAGTGTGGTGGAAATATAGACAAAGCAGCAGCTCAGTTGCTTGAAATGAATGCTACATAATCTTACTTAATGTTATTCTGCATAATCTTTATGGATTTCTGAAATTTTAGTAACTTATTTTTTAATGCGAATTTTTTCTTTTTTTGTAAATGTATTTGTGAAATAGTTTGTTTTAGTAGTAGTGTTTAGTAGTAGTGTTTACAGCTGCAATGAAATATCAAAACAGTTTAAGTTATATTTTGTTAATGTTTAGTATTATAAATTCAAGATTCTTTAATTATAAATAAGATTTTATGTTTTTGAAGTGTCTTCACGTTATGTGTCACTGATGACTCACGTTGTCATGTGCCACTAATGACCTTAGCATTAGGAAAGCGGTTGCTCAGTTGATATTGAATGTATGATGACAAAATGATTACGGTTTCAACTTATAAAGCGTTCTTTTTTTTTCTTTTTTACAATTCATTTCATTGTAAAAAATAATATCTTAACTAATTAAGAGTTCAAAAAATATGTTCAATTTTTTTTTCGCTTTGCGTTAAGCTCTCTAGATTTAGTTCATGACTGTTGCACATATTCATGACTGTTGCACATATTCATGACTGTTGCACATATTCATGACTGTTGCACATATTCATGACTGTTGCACATATTCACGACTGTTGCACATATTCATGACTGTTGCACATATTCATGACTGTTGCACATATTCATGACTGTTGCACATATTCATGACTGTTGCACATATTCATGACTGTTGCACATATTCATGACTGTTGCACATATTTATGACTGTTGCACATATTCATGACTGTTGCACATATTCATGACTGTTGCACATATTCATGACTGTTGCACATATTCAAGACTGTTGCACATATTCATGGCTGTTGCACATATTCATGACTGTTGCACATATTCATGACATATTCCTAAAAGTTAGCAATCTAAAAGTAAGGAATAAACATTTATACTGCGTTCGGAAACGTTTAGAAGTGAATTAAGTGCATTTTTTCCTATTATATCAAGCCTTGATATAATAGGAACCATAAAAACGTTATGTTCACAAAACTCAAAATATGCTAGTTTAGGAATCGCTGTTTTATATAACTGAATTATAGAGTTCGAATTAACAAAACAGACTCCATAATAATATATACTCACGAATTTCGTTAAGATTGATAAAAGGTTTATCGCGTAACTTTTTTCGTTCGTCGTTAAAATATTTTTTTGCATATATATATATATATATATATATATATATATATATATATATATATATATATATATATATATATAGTTTGTGGTTGAGATTGTGCATATTTCAACTTGATTTTTTTTCGCTTTTATTTTACAGGTTTTAACAAACATTTAAAGGTTTTAACAAACATTGAAAAAAAAACATAAAATAAACAGCTAAGAAAGTATCAGTTATCAGTATGCACTGTATTTTCGATCGATGTACTTTCAATCATTTTGTATGGTTTAGAGTAAGCTTTATAAACGCCGAAGGATAAAATTTCGAAAAACTTTTTTTAAAAAATATGAATAAATTAAATAAAAAAAGTGCTTAAATTTTACACATTTTTGTAAAGGTTTTTGAAGATGTCGTTATCACAAACAATGTGAAAATCAGGTTGATATCAATAATCAATAGAATATCCTTTATTATTATTATTTTTATTATTTGTTTACATTTATTGGTCGGTAAACAGTTTTTTATTGCAAATATTAAAAAAAAATAATAAATTTTCACATATACACGGTAGAGTGTCCAGCCAACACATATACAAGGTAGAGCGTCCAACATAAGATGGAGCCAACAATATATATTAATATAGTATTGTATAACCAACACATATATTAGTACAGTAATAAGTTTAAAAAAAAACAAACTATTATCATAATTTAAACAACCATGTATAATAAATATTAAAGTTTGATTAAAATTTTCTTTTTGAAATAAAAAGTTTTATATAAAAAATAGAATTGTGTTTTATATAAGAAATAGAGTTGTGTTTTATATAAGAAATTGAATTTTTTTTTTTTTTTTTTTTAGTTCACAATTATTAATCGTAATATAACAATATATAAACTTGGTATCTGAAAGAAGATCCGAATGACCTTGTCGCCAGAACCATATAAAATATATCATACGTGTATATATAATAAAATAAAAATACAATTGATCAAATAAAAAAGAAACAAAAACTGAAAATAATTTTACAAATTATCAAGAGTGAAAAAAAGAATTTAACATTTCAAAAATATTTATATATATTGCCAGTAGAAAGAATATAGTTTTTTAATTTAGTTTTAAAAACGGAAAACAAAATTGACAAATCAAAATTTGGAACAACAATTTTGTTCCATAAATACGGTGCTCTATAGTTTATGCAAAATTGATTAAACTTTGTTTGACAAAAGGGTTCAATTAATAAATTATTATTTCGTAAAGAATATTTGTTTATAGCTTTATAAGTAAAAAGATCTTTTATATAAGATTTCTACGTTTTCATAAATTTTAATGCTTAAATAATGCAATTTCAAGTGATTTTTTCGTCAAAATAAACACCTCAATTTTTGTTACGCAATCACTTTTTGTTGCAATTCGATTTATTTATATATTAATAATCCTGTGACTGTATTAATACAGCAAGTGTGATTTACTCACTGAAAAGCCACTCACAAAAATAAGTTGCTTAAATTATCGTTCTTTTGTTGATACTTGTCGAAATTGTTTTTAAACTCATTTAAGTTATAAGAATCGACTTTTTATTGTCGACAATGTGGTGATTCCAAAAAATCACCACAAACGAAGTATAATTTGGTAAAACCCTCCATTTAGTAAAAATGTTACAACCAAAATTGGTCAACGCTTTTTAACCCTGATTGACAAGCATTTTCCTGAAGACCACAACCTACACAAAATATTTAACAGAAACACAATTAAAATAAGCTACTCCTGCTTGCCAAACGTTAAATCTATCATCAACTCACACAGCAAAAATATTTTATATGGTGATGTAAAGTTATCAGAAAAAGCCTGCAATTGCATTAAAAAATCTCTTTGTCCACTGAATAACAATTGCTTGTCTAACAACATCGTTTACCAAGCCACCGTAAGCTCAAATAAACCTCAATACAAAGATAAGGTATACATTGGGATAAGCAAAACCTCTTTTAAGCTACGTTATGCAAACCATCTAAAATCCTTCAACATAAAAAAGTACAAGAACGACACTGAGTTATCTAAGGAAGTATGGGATTTAAAAGATAACAATTTTACATCTTCAATCAAATAGAATATAACTAAACGCTGTATATCATACAATCCTGCGTCGAAAATTTGTAAGCTTTGTTTAAATGAGAAATTTGAAATATTATTTTACAAAGGAGATAATCTGTTAAATAAAAAAGGCGAAGTAGTTTCAAAATGTAGACATAAAAATAAATTTCTTCTTTCATTATTTGATAGCGGAGATTAGTTTTCCATTATGTCTTCTTGTACGAAGACGTCAGAACTCATTCTACTGTAGTTTGTAATTTTAAAACGGTTTTTTATATTTTTGATTTTGTACTTCATGGCTATTGATTGCCGATAAGCACGAAGCTTTAAGTTCCATTAAAAGTTGTTTTTTCTATATTTAAGTATATATATATATATATATATATATATATATATATATATATATATATATATATATATATATATATATATATATATATATATATATATATATATATATATATATATATACACTGTGTCAAAAAAGTTTTCATCCACCTATCCTGTACATCTTTCAGACGTGATAACTTTACATTCAGCAAAGATATAAGCATAATTTCAACTTAATTATATCAGTTAACCATTCAAGAAGTATTGTATAAAAAGATTTTACAAAATAATGAATAGAAATTAAAATACAACATTTAAACATAAACAATGCCTGTTTTTGCGCCAAAAAAGTTTTCATCCACCCTGCACTCCAACCTCAATTTGTTATTAAATCAGTATTAAAGTATCATTTTTAAAATATAAATTAGATTTAGTAAGATTTTTGTATTTTTTTTTTTTTATATGAGTTTTTTATATTTTTTATTTTTGTTAGATTATTAATAAAAATGAGAGTTGCAGAGGAAATTAGATTGCTTATTGTTAGACTATGGAAAGAGGGAAAATCACAGCGAAATATAGGAAAAATAGTAAAGAAATCACGTGCAACTGTGCAGTCTATTATTAAGAAATACCAAACCACCAAAAAAATTGCTGATAAGCCACGTACAGGGCGTCCAAATAAAATTCAAGTATTGCATCGACGAGCTATATTAAGAACAGTCATCCAGAATCCTAAAATAAGTGCTCCAAAACTCGCTGGAATGCTGCAAAATGATTACAATTTAAAAGTGGATCCTGAAACTGTTAGAATAACTTTAAGAAGAGCTGGATACAATGGTAGAGTACCATTGAAAAAGCCCAATATCAGCAAAGTCAACAAAGCCAAACGACTACACTTTGCAAAACTTTATATCAATGAACCACAAACATTCTGGGAATCGGTCCTTTTCAGCGATGAATCAAAATTTAATGTGTTTTCATCAGATGAAAGAGTTAAAGTTTGGAGAAAACCAAATGAAGCATTTAAAAAACAAAACTTGTGTCCAACAGTGAAGCATGGCGGAGGAAGTGTTTTAGTGTGGGGGTGTATGAGTGCTTCAGGTGTAGGAAACTTGGTTTTCATTGATGGAAATATGGATCAAAATGTGTATTTAAACATTCTAAAAAATAATCTGGAAGAAAGTGCCCACAAATTGGGACTTACTAGGTCATTTACTTTTCAGCAAGATAACGATCCAAAACATACTGCCAAACGTGTCAAGGAATGGCTTATATTTAAAATAGCTAAGCAACTTCATACACCCCCACAATCTCCAGATTTGAATCCTATTGAACATCTGTGGGATGAATTGGGTAGAAGAATTAGGACCCACGATGTGAGGAATCAACAACAACTCCAATTAGTAATTATGAAAGAGTGGGGCTTAATCACTCCAGAAATTACTAAAAAATTAGTTTGTTCAATGAAAAACAGACTACACGAAATAATAAAAGCTCGTGGTGGAAACACAAGTTATTAAAACACTAATAAATTGAGTTCGTATGACAATTTTATTTGATTTTTGTAAAGTGGATGAAAACTTTTTTGAGACAAAGATGTCTATCTTTTATTCCAAAATGCTGTATTTTATTTGTAACTCATTACTTTAAAAAACTTTTTTTGTACAATATTTCTTAAA